CGGACAGTCTGTAAAGGTTAACCGGTAAAAAGAAATTTCATAGTTTAGGCATTACAAAAAAGCGAAACTGGAAATAAGCAATTTGATTTTTGTTTCTGTTATATGTCTTACTGTTGATCTTTTCATCTTAGAATAGTAGCGAAGAATGTGAGCTCAGTTTACTTTTCATTACATTGTCAAAATGAATCTGAATTTGAAACACACCGAATATGAAATGACCATTATAGACTAAAACAGACGTATTTTAATGAAACTATGCTATTTTCCTACGATTCCCCATCATTGTTTTTCATTAACAAAAGTGTGCTGACATCTTCACCCAAATTATTGTATAAAATATTCTCATCTGTCTCCCTCTGTTCCGTTTAGGGAAGATAGTTTTGCAAAAATGACGAACAGACAGATTGACTCGTCTCTCAGGTGCACTTCACACTTTGCCGCTAAATTCTATTCTTTTTTAAGCTTTTTCTGTTTTGGAAGACAAAAGATAGGACGCGATTCTGATTCATGATTATCCATTTATATGTCTCGAGGGAAGTCGTTTAGATCAATTAGTGAGGGGACTATTTCATTCCGTCAACAAAGCTTCACAAGAGTGGCAACAGTTTCCAAACCTCCTGTCATACTGTCAATAAATGGGAACTTTTCCGTACTCTCTGAAACAGGCAACGGAAAGTTATCAAAAGAGATCCGGTTTTGAATTCTATCAACGGTTGGAGCGATCGCAGTTTATCTCCACATCAATGATGTTGCTGATTTGGTGTGGCCCACCGACCTTATCCAATCAAGAAGACACATTGTTCGTGTCAGCAGCGATGAAGAATTTGTCGTAATTACAGGAAACTATACCTTTTTTTGTTTAAGATGTCCGAAATCCAATTTAAGATATCACAATATGAATGAAAGATGTCCGAAATCCAATTTAAGATGTCACAATATGAATTTAAGATGGCATGTTGCTATGTTTTCACTCTGTACTGTGCAAGGTACTATCCACAAAACAACATGACCTCTTAAATTGATACTCGGATATCTTAAACTCGTATTGTGACATCTTAAATTGGACTTCGGACATCTTAAACTGAAAAAGTTATAGTTCCCTTTGACATTTTAATGACAGCGAGAAGGAGCATTGTAATAACTGAATGTGTTGAATTCAACTGTCTCGTGGTAATCTCATCTGCTGCGAACATACATTCAGATCACTTTTGGTTGAATAGGTGACGAGGAAAGAGAAATCAATTCATGTATAGGTCGTTCAAACCCGGACTAGATTGACTGGTTGCAATACATAAGTTGTGCAAGGTTTATAGCTCTGATTAGGGGGTGAGAAATGAATGAATAGATACATCTATGGAGCACAAGTCAGATTATCTTATACAAAAGCCCGTTAACGCTGTATTCTTATGGACCAATAAAAAATTGCAGTATTCTACACAATAGTTGCGGTAAAGCACAAAAGCAACTACTGTCATAAAACTCTCCGTCCAATCCGTTCACACATGCCAGTCCGATTTCTGTTTATCCCTCATCCATACGCGCGTGTATGTGTGTGTATGATTATCGAACAGAGAAGGAATGACCTGTTTTACTCACAGCATCTTTTTTCCAAAGTGATCTTGTCGAATACGCATCCGCAATCCTCTTGGCGTAGGGCACGGAAATATATCTTCCGTAGCCCGTTGATGCACTTTCCCATGAATACAGGCAACATACTGAAATGACAAACTGACAGAAAAATGGAGAAAAAACAGGAGGAGACATGATTGAAGGTAGAATAAGTATTGTGGTTCATTCCATCCCCCCCCATCGCTCTCAAACACCAAATAATGACAATGTTGTGTAATCGTTCAAACTGTTTATTGGTTACCGAGTTTTTTAGGGGCATTGACTCGGGTAAATTAAATAATTCATCCAACTATTTCTTCCGATCAGCCGAACATAAAATTTTAAATAAGTTATCGATCTGGATACTATCAGACACCAATGGACAGATACTGATTCGTTGTTGTGTCTCATCGTTATTTTCGCGGGGGGGGGGGGATTTTCAATAGTATTGGAATTCCGACCGGAACTGCGTTCGAGTTAATAGCTTGAACCTCATCAGCGTTGAGCTACTCCGTAGATAACAATACCTTACGATTATTTCACTTGTGTGAGTGATTTATTCTACCATAAAATCAGGTAAAATATGTAAAAACAAACCGTCCGTTTTATACACTCAATTACATTTGCCTAAAAATGGTATTACTGTTAGTAAGGTTCACAATAATTATTACTATTATTATGTTCGTAACAGAAAGGGTAATTTTAAATATACATACATATTTTGTTCTTAGAAAGATTTTTCGCGATTTAACTTTGAACTTCAAATAGGAGCAAAAGTTTTCAATGAGCTTGTCATTAATCATCAATCACTCACAGCCAGGAGGACATCTCTGGCGATCTGGGTCCGAAATCGTTCGATCCCATTCCGGTGGTTTCGGTGTCGATTTCTCTGCTTCCGTAATTTCTGAACCACATAGCACTCTTGAATCTCTGAAAATACACGGCGATCTGATTGTTCTTGAGAGCGAGAGAGCGAGAGAGAGAGAGACGGGGAGAAAAAGAGAGAGAGAAAAATGCCCAAAGAATTTTACACGGCAATCAGCATTGTAGGTCAGTAGTTAGGGGGCAGCAAATTGTCATCATCATCATCAGCAAATTGTTCATCTTGTAAACTACGATGTTATAACTCGGTTTGTGATATTCTTTTGAACGCATACACAGGTATAGAGAAAACACAATAGCGATTTGACCACCGGGCAACCGATCATTTTGTCTATACGCGATATAGCACAACTCATTGAAACAACTTTGAAGTGTTTCTTGGCCTTTCGGTTCACGTTTCATTTACTCTGTTCAACAAATAAACTGCTTTAGTGTTTGATGTTCCATTGAAACATGTGACAAGCTGATTTTCGACACGCAGTTACTTTTGCGCTACCAATGTGTTTTGCAGCATTGAGAACGAAGAAAATTTATGCTTAGTTTCGTTCAAATGCGGAATGATTGTAGCTCTGGATGTGGCTATTGGTGTTGGCGTGTGCTCTGTAAGCTGGACGAATTGTTAGCAGATCGGTGGATACGAAACGTCCGCGAGAACAACTTCCAGCTCAGTTTGTTATCCGACTAAGTTAAACACTTACAGATTTCACGAATGCTCCATAGCTGGTTCTAAATTGATCTGCACTGATGGCACACTTCGAGATGCTATACACTCCGCTTCGAATCATAACTTCCAATCAATTGTGCATCTCTCGACTTGAGCTTAGCCCACTCCCGTATGCCTAAGATATTGATGGCGGTTTTCTACTAATAAAACCACACAGGGCATGCATAAAAACACTTTGAATTCCATTGCATCTTTTGAATTCCTGTTACCGAGACATATCGGTGGAATTACGTAACACTGTCGTGTATGAGTTCAGAGCAGTCGCCACTGGTGGGTTACTCGTCAAATCCTGATGGCAATTGATCAGGATATCAGGACTTTGGATAGAAACTCTGTGTAAAGATTTGATTGTCTGCCAGGTCATTCATCCGAAAATACTGGGGTGAACTTGTCTCCAGTTTGCTCAAATATGGAAAGGCAAGTTAACATCTCATTGTCACACGGGACTGGGTTTCAGCATCCAATTGTGTGAGGTGTATTAGAATTAGTTTTCTTCCGCAGTTTATTCATTGCGGGACAGAGTTTCAAGGTCTCCGAATGATTTGCAGTATCCTTTGCATGAAAAATATTGACTACATCAGAAATGTCTTGTTCTGTTGTGACCGAAATAGGAAAATCCATTCTTATTTTCTTGGAAGAAATCGAATAAAATTGTTTGTTTTCCTTCCCATCATTAGCCAATTTTCTGTAACAATTAGCGAACTGGGTGTCTTTCATTTAGTATGAAAACTTGGTGCTGTGCGAGAAAATGGGGGGGGGGGCTCTGGTGAGATCTTACGTTTCACAGTGGGAAAGTCTTCCTGTCCTTGTTCGTGGCACTATACAAATGCAGGACAGAACTATTACAAGCTGTTTCTATGCCTATTCGAACTAAAACAATTCTGATTTGATCGTACGGGACAGTGAGTGTCATTTCCGTTCTCAAAACTCGTTCGGTCTCTGTCACCAATTGAGCGTCGAAACAACTTTGAATAGGATAAACCATAAATTGAACGATCCATGCGTTGCTCCAATACAGACCGACACAGGTCACCAAATTGATTTGTCTGTTCCGTTCAGGACTCCTTTTATTAGATTATGCTGTTCTCGGTAAACGGATATGTGTTTTCGGTACTCAGCATATCATAACACGTGCTTCATCATCCTTGATATCAAAAACAAATTCCAGATTGGGTCTGAGGACGCGGACAAAGTAGTAAATCATCAACACCTTGACGAATAAAGTGTGCGTGTCAATTGACATAGACCTACATCGTTCCGGACCACATAGTACCAATGGACTGTGTGAATTTTCCAATCCTATTGATTATTTCACTCTTTGTTAGAGTTAGACTTGTGCATTTAACTTTTTGCTCCTTCATAGTTCACTGAATAGACTTCAAAATAATTAATGACGTCCGATAGCCTATGGCTTAAAAAAGTAACCTGAAACAGTGAATTGGGGATGTTGAATATTACCACCTAATAGATTCCCAAATAGGGTGACATATTTGGCTATGTATTCTCTCCCTTAAGACATGCTTGGCGAAACGATTCCCCAAAACAATTAAAATCCGACATTCTTTTCTGCACAATAACTACCTAGGACTATAGTGCGTACAAGGTTGCGCAACCCTGATCCCTCTATCTTTGATTAACCGAACACAATAGCTGCACTGATTAAACAGGTCTAAAATCATCCGGCAGATGGGACTGAGTTCCATTTCAAAAGTCTAACGACCAATGTATGATGCACTNCTCCTCGTGCGTGCGTGGGGGGGGGGCAGAAGTGTAAAAAAAACTCACT